GTAGATCTGTCAGCACTTCTATTGTGGAGGCCTTTGCAGGGTGTCCAGTGCTTCTGTTTTAATTTTGCTGAGGGTTGTAACTCTGGCAAAATTTAAAGGCCTTTCAGCTCCCAGTCAGGAGGTTTTAAATCCTCTAAATTTGCCCTTTACCCCTCAAAAATATTTTTCTGTCTAGCAATTAGATGGAAGATGGTTCCTCAGCCAAGGTTTAACAGCATGGACAGTGATCTAATTAACTTGTTTTTTTAAAGCTTTTGTTCCAAGTCCACTTCCTAATAGCAAATCCCCAGCACAGCCCCGTTAGCTATGGATACACTTCCTTTCCCACTTGGGTATTTCCAAAGTCACTTCCCAAGGCTCCCTGAACCACCCARCTCATCCTTTTGCAAGTGTGATAGAGGCTGAATCAGCCTTTCTTTAGGGTGAATCATCTCAGGTGTTGGTGTCTCACCTGATAATCCTAAAAGTGGCACAAAAACGACACAGACCTGTTAGAGCAGGTCCAGAGGAGGCCACGGAGGTGCTCGGAGGGCTGGAGCCCCTCTGCTCTGGAGCCAGGCTGGGAGAGCTGGGGTGCTCACCCAGCTCTACAGGGAGAGCTCAGAGCCTCTTCTAGGGCCTAAAGGGGCTCCAGGAGAGCAGGAGAGGGGCTGGGGATGAGGGATGGAAGGACAGGGCAAGAGGGAATGGCTTTAAGGCAATAGAGAGTAGATTTAGATGGGATATTGGAAAAAAATTCTGTCTGGGAGAGTGGCGAGGCCTTGGCACAGGTTGCCCAGAGAAGCTGTGGCTGCCCCTGGATCCCTGGAAGTGTCCAAGGCCATGGTGGGAGGTGTCCCTGCCCATGGCAGAGGGTGGAACTGGATGRGCTTTCAGGTTCCTTCCAAACAAAACCATTCCATGAACTGTGCAAGCCAGGAGCCCATGACTCTGCTGAGAGAACCTGTAGCAGTCAGAGCTGTGGATTTTCTTGGAGATGGAGGAAGAGGAGGAAGAAGAGGAGGAGGAAAAGGGGATCCTTTGCACTGCAGGAGTGAGAAGCAAAGATGAGACTAAACAATCCTCCAGTTTAAGGACAGTCTGTGGCAGGGACAGGACTCTTTTGGGGTGCTCAGGCTCCTGCTCCCCCCGTTGGGTTTTTCACCTGCTCTCCCTGGTGAGCCCAGCGAGCCGCAGTCGCTGCTCCTTCCAACCACAGGCAGCACATTCCCCCCTCCTTCTCCTTGGAGAGCAGCCAGATCAAAATGGCTCTGATCCAACGCCAAGAATCACTCCCTTTGCTATGGAAATGAGCACTTGGGGGCTGCTCACCATGTGTTCATCAGAGAGTTCCTGCTAAGGATGACGAGCTGTAGGTGGGGAAGAGGGCAGGGAAGGTGTGTTCCAACAGATCCCTTTGGAACAAATAAGGGTATTTTTGGATGCTTCTGAACTCTTTGCATTTTTTAAAAGTCATTTATAGAAAACCAGATGATTAGCCTTTGCATCAAACGGTAGAAATGGGGRAAATAAAGGAGTGGGATTTCACCATGGGATAAAGGGAGTTTCTCATCTGTGAAGATGGAAGGAGTGGCAGATCACCAGGACCTGATATTTGAAATGAAAATATTTTTTTTCCTGCTGTTCTGGTATTGATCAAGTGAAGAAAAGATACAATTATCCAAGCGATACAAATAATCCTTTGTCACCATCACACCTGAATTGCCAGCCTTGGAGCAGCCACATTCCCAGACCCCTGGCTCTGTGGGATGCTGATTCCAGGCAATTTGCTGTGTTTGCTCAGCACGACAAGTTCAAACCTTCGCTTTACCTTCTTCCCWGCAATCTGATTTTAATCTGGATTCACAGCGGGGTGGGAACGTTGCCRGGGGGTGAACACTTCTRGAAATTCATGCACAAAGCAGGARCCTTTTCCCTGCTCCTGGTTGAGTSGTGCAGGCAGATGATGAGTAGGGTTCACTGCAAGGGGTGTTCCAGGTGGGAAAGGGCTGAGCTGGGTGTGAGTTGGGCTTGGGAGAACATTCCCAATGTCCTGGGGATGGCCTGGGGTCACCTGGCATGGTGGAAAGGAGGAAAGGTGGGGGTGACGCCGAGCCCTCCCATCTCTGGGAGGAGCCCTTGGGATGAAAGTGTCTGTCAGGGCTCGGAATGAGTCGACACAAATCAGGAACTGGGCGTGGAACTGCAATTTTATGGTGTGTCTTACTTAACTGAACCTTGAGACTTCAGCATTTCTTGTCATCTGGGCATCTTGCAGTTGAAATTCACCTTTTCTTTGGGCGTGATTTGGTGAGGCTGGGATCATGCCAGTTGTCCAAGGCCAGGTTGGACAGGATTCATGGAAGGTGTTCCTGCTCATATCAGGAGGTGAAATGAGATGAGTTTTAAGGTCCCTTCCAACCCAAACCATTCCATGATTTTACTTTGTGCTCTCACCTGCTGGCTGGAGCTGGAGAGCAGTTCCTGGTTTATGACTTCCCATCGCACTCCGGTGTTCCGGGGTGTGTCCAGCGTGGAACAAGGTCTTTGATTTGTGCTCTGAGGGAAACAGTTGGCAGAAAGTGCATTACACAATTTCAGTGACTGATGGGAGTAGGAAGGGAGCCCAAGTTCATCTTTAATAAGATAGAAATCATTAACAATTTCCATACAGCTTTTCTCCGTGGACATCTTAAACACCTCAGTTCTTCCCAAAATTTTGCATTTAAAACCTGTTTTGTCGTAATAATTAATTAGCCTTAAAATATCAGCATGGAAAAAGTACTGTGGGGTACTCTTCTTGCTCTCTGTGGCTGGGAATGACTGTGGCACCCTCAGCTTTGTGTCACCACCATGTGGGGCTCAAGTCACCGGTGGCTCAGTGTGAAGGTGTTTGGTGCACATCTGGAACAGATGTGTCCCCATCACAAAACTGACCCCAAATCAGTGTGGATTGGGCACATTGGTGGCTTCAGTGGCACTGGTACATCCCTRAGCTGCTATGGAAATGACCAGTGCCAGTTCCCAAATGGACTCTGATGGAAAACAAATCCCCTGCTTCTTTTCCCTTATGCMGAACCAGAGAGTTTCACTGCAGAGCTGTCTGTTCTGTTAATTGGAACACTTTCCTCCTCTTCAAACACATTCCGTGGCATTTCCCRGCTCTGATGAGCGCTTCCCTGCAGTTATCCCGCTTTTTGTCGCTGTTAATTTTTTATTTAACCTCCCAGACTACAAAACAGCCATCAACGCTCGGCGCTTCCCTGCAAAGCCTTTGCAGTCACAGACATCCTCCAAGCTTTCATCACGTTTGCAGCAGACAGCCAGGGAGCAGGGATRCAGCCACATTCCCAGTCTCTCACTCTGGAGTGAGGAGCTCCAGGAACTGAGCAGTTTTTCCCAGCCTCTCCATGTGCTTGGGGACCTTCTAGGAGGCGAGATAGGAGGTGGACTCTGCTTATTTTTGCTTTTTYCCCCTTTTTATTTGTTTTTGCTTTCCCTAGAGACTGGGAGGGAAATATTTTTCCCATATGTAAAAGCAAGATGCTGTATGGAGGCTCCTCTTCTGCTCCTTCTCCTCTGAAGGAGGAAGTTTGGTATGGWGGGAAAAGCCCTTCCCAAATGCAAGGGCTCTGTAGGTTCTATCTGTAYTCCAAGGCTGGTGTTGTGCCTATGTCTTCTCCCAGGTGCTGGAATTTTCCACACTGATTCCCTTTCCCTCTATTCTAACTCCAGCATTCTTGAAAATAATTTTTCTCAAGAAATGCTACAGACACACCAAGTTAATTGGAGTCATTAACTTGTTTCCATTACTMCTTTCTGCCTAGGAAACTAATTTTTTTAAGGGAGATTTTGGAGTTAGAAGAAAGAACTGGAAGCTAGGGAACATGTGGAACCACTTCACAGGAACACCGGATTTTGAGAGCTTGCATTTTTATTTACATCTCCTGGACCCTGTCTGACTTGAAAGTAAACAAGTTCAATCCAAGACTAGATTTATCCCTGAAAATATGTGGAGACTTGTCTAAAAACTGCTTTTAGGATTAGGARCTTCCTTTACTGCAGTCAAGGAACACATTTACAGTGGGGAAATTAATGCTTAACTGGCAAATTCTGTAAAAGCCCCCTGGAAATGCAGTGGRTTGGGCTGGATGCAAAATAACCTACAAATTTTACTTTATAAAAGAAGGAAAAGACAAAGCTGGTTGAGAATTTGGCAGGTCTTAAGGTGGAGGATTCCTCAAAGTGTTCAAGGCCAGGTTGAATGGGGCTTGGACACATGGAAGGTGTCCCTGCCCATGGCAGGGGGTGGAATGGGATGAGCTTGATGGTGTTTGGTGCCAAGAGGATGGTGCCAGACTCCTTCCAGCAGTGCCCAACAGCAGGATGAGGAGCAATGGTCATAAACTAAACCATGTGGAATTCTTCCTCAACCCTCTTTCCGTGGAGTGTGGAGAGCTCTGGGACTGCCCAGGGAAGGCGTGGAGTGTCCCTGTCTGAGGACATCCCAAACCCATCCACATTCCTGTCACCTGTTCTGGGTTACCATATCTTGGCATGGGGTTGGACTGGGTGATCTCCAGAGGGCCCTTCCCACCCCAACCATTCTGGAATTTTTTCCCTTCCAACCCAAACCATTCCATGACCCTACAGATAGAGAGCAAACCTGTGTTTCCACATTGCTGGACGCAGGGCGACGGA